AGTGACTGGAACCACCTTCAACAGACTTTCAAACTTAGTTTGTTTTTACCTCTGTCGACTTTTAAAAAAATCCATCCAGAGTATTTTACAGGATCATTGCACATAGTTTTTAACACTTTTATCTTTAATCTGCAATTGTTTCACTGTCTGATATCTTTATTCACTGTTTCATGTTATAGTTGATGTGTGAGTGTTTTCTGTTTGTGCTGTTTTATTCTGCCTCTTGGCCAGGTCCTCATTGTAAATGAGAAGGTGTTCTCAACTGACTTACCTGGGAAAATATTAAATCAATAAAAAAAATAAAAAAATTCAGCGATATCATGGGAAAGCTCACGTTATGGTGGTTAGGCTCATGATTAATGATTAATGATGCAACAATATCCAAATCTCTCGGTACGACATTTTCTTGATATACATCTCATGGAATGATATTTATTGCAATATTTTGTAGAGGATAACAAAACTGTTAATATGCTGCTTTTTCCTCTTAAAATGCCTTGACAAGACTAAATCCAAAGAACTAAGACTTAAAAGTGCTTAGAACTGTTATTTCTTCTTCGTCTGCACTGAAATGGAGCAAAGGATCATGGTCTATGTAGTTCCCTCTGTCTCTTTTAGCTATTGCTGCACCATAACTAGTATTACTGTGAGAACTTTGACAACACAATATCATGATATTTCAGTTATTGTTACATCCCCACAATGCACCTTTAAAATTGAAGTTAAAAACACAGTTATATAGAATGGCCCTTGTACAGTAGCAGTTATTTTGATTCTGTGTTGTACTATTTTAATCTGTGCATTATGCCTGCTTATTTAACTGTGTGTAGAGCACTTTGTACTCTGTTAAGAAAAGTGCCATCTAAATAAAATTATTATTTTTATGATTACAAGGGATGTAGCAATAATGAAATATCATGATATCGTATCATCAAAGTTCTCACAATAATATCGCGGGTTAGTGACAGTTTAAAAAATCAGAGAGAACTACATAGACCATGATCCTTTGCTCTGTTTCGATCCAATCAACACGATCAAATAACTGTTATTAAGCACTTTAAAATCTTAATTATTTGGATTATGATGAGAGAAAAGTAGTATATTCACTATTTTGTTCACCTCCACAAAATTAATATTGTACCGTGAGATGTGTATCGTGAAAATATCGTACTGAGAGATTTGGGTATCGTTACATCCCTGTTAATTGAACTGAACTGAATGTAATTGAATGTAACTGCAGCTTTAGTCATTTGTTAATTGAAACTATTGAAATTATGATTCAGTTTATCAGTTCAGTTCAGTTTGTACATAAAAACACACACATACATATGAGCAGTTCACACTCATCGTGTGCTTGTTTGAACGTTTGAGCTGGTGATAAGTGGAAAGGAAGGATATAGAACCACAGATTAGATTAGATCCAGCTGTTCTGCACTTGTACAAACTCTGCAAAAACTCAAATCCAGCCAAGTGAAGATGACTTGAATTAAGAAACTTACTTTTATCATGATTTGAGTCGATTTCACTTGACAAGTCAAATGATCTGCAAACGGAACAAGACTTTTTGTACTTCAAATATGAAAACACATCTTGCTGCACTTAAGATAAGAAAGACAACAACTTTTGTAGTTAAAATAACAAATGAAATCTAACGTTGCTTGAATGAAGTAAAACAGACTTTATTTCTTGGTAGATCATTTTACTTAGAAAGTGAGACAAAACCTGCGCTCCCAAACTGCTTTTAATGAATGATAATGTTTCAATCAGTGGATCTTCGTCAGGTCATGGCCTGAATTAAGAAAGTTTGATCATGATTTGAGGAAATTTCACTTGACAAATTAAATTATCTGCCAATGAAACAAGACTTTTTGTACTTTAAATATGAAAACACATCTGCTACACTTAAGAAAAACAACTCTGCACTTAAAATAAGAAACAAAATCACATGTTGCTTGAATTAAGTAAAATGATTTACCAATGTTCTATTGGTAAATGTTCCATTGGTACAAAGTGTGTTTTTTTTTGGGACTTGGGACTTGACTTGGACTTGAGGCCTGTGACTTGAAGACTTGATGCTTCTCCTAAAAAAGTATATATGCTTTTAGAAAATACTTTTCTCTTTACAGTTGATAAAGGCTGTGATAAATTTTACAGGAACAAACTGGAACATGTCCCTCCCACTTCTGTTTGTTACTTTGGATGGAACTGTACTGTACTGTGGAAGTACTGTGTGGTATCCTCAAATGTACTACAGTAATATACAGCACAATATAGTAAAACAGAAGGAACTACATAGAACATGATCCTTCCATTTAAGTGCAGACTACATCACAAAAAGCACTTTTAAATCTGAATTCTTTCTATTCTGACCATCATGATTCAAATTAAGATCTTGACAAAACATTTAAAAAAGAAAAATGTATATAAAGACTCTTATATAAATATACATAGACTTTTTAAGAACAATTTAGCTTTAATAATTAAAATTAATAGAAACTGCAAAAATCTAGGCTATACCTGATACTTTGGTTTACGTTTACGACTTGGACTTGACTTGGACTTATGGGCCAGTGACTCAAGATTCAACTTGGGACGTGTCTGTATTTGATTTGGGACTTGACTAAGACTTGAGGTCAAAGACTTGAGACTTACTTGAGACTTGCAAAACAACGACTTGGTCCCACCTCTGGCTTGCTGTGTAGTGTGTGTTTTATATTGATAGTCACCATTTTCTTCTAATAGAGCAGGGGAGTCAAACTCATTTTGGTCCGGGGGCCGTATCCAACCTACTTTGATCCCAAAGGGGCCGGATCAGAAAAATGGCAGATAAACCCCAAAAATAACAATAAGTTCAAATATTTGTGCAGAGAAACACAAATCTATTACAGAAATCTTTTTTTAATTGATGAACTCTTTCTTTTACAAAATATTATAATATTATGAACAACCTGAAAAATGCAATTTCAACACAATATTTTTACATTAACTTGAATGCAAACAGGAATAAATAATTTTTTCTTGAAAAAATCCTGCACACGGCTCCACTTTTCTCATTTTGGACATTTTTCTGATGAGGGTGTCACGGTCAACAGTCAAAACGATCGTCCTTTAAGAGCGTTTGGAAAGAGACAAGTCTTCATTTGTGCTGCTCTGGTGGGAGGGGCCACGTACAGAGACGCTGGAGACGCTGCTGTGATAAACACCACAGAAAATTAACAAGATTTGAATAGAAAATATAATTAAAATATTTTAGTAGAAAATCAGCTGAGGGCCAGATTAAAGGTCTTGGAGGGCCAGATCTGGCCCCCGAGCCGTATGTTTGACACCCGTGTAATAGAGCGTCTGTTGCTGAATGTCTCTCCTCTCTCTCTCTCTCTCCCCGTTTTAACTCTACATCTAAAGCCTACAGTACAGAAAATAAATAAAAAAAAAACAATCAAATATTCTTATTTATGTGCCCATGCAGAGCTCCTAATCCTTTTTTAAATGTTGGTACAAACCACAGCGTTCCTTGGACACTCTTTAGATCATTGTTTCCCAAAGACTGAGTCTCGACCCTCTAGTGGGTCACAAGAGATTTTTTTTAGGTCGCCTTGTTACTATCTGTATGTATTTCTCCAATATACATATACATACATCTCCGCACACCCCCCTCCTCACTTTTTCGGCAGCTCCACCTTGCCTAAACAATATTCTGTGGGAAACACTGATTACTGTTTTTCCTTGTTTAAAACTTGAATACCGTATTTTTTCGGACTGTAAAGTGCACTTCCTCCTTAATTCCCTTAATTTTCTGCCTTATAATCGGTGCACCTAATGTGTTAATTCTGGTTGTGCTTACCGACCTTGAACCGATATTCACACATATTCCACTGAGTCGTGTTCTTTAGTCCGACAGAAGCTGAACTGTAACAGCGCACAAGGAGATCGCTTATCGCTTATTGTCAGTGTTGGGAAGGTGACTTTTAAAATGTATTCCCCTACAGATTACAGATTACATACCCCAAAATGTAGTTTGTAACGTAATCCATTAAATTACTTAAAGTGAGTAATGTAATCTGAATACTTTGGATTACTTGATTTGCTGTAGAGAAGCAAAGACGAGGAAATCTTCACATAAGATGTTTTATCTGCTAAAAGAAAATAAAAAGCCCAGACTTTACTGAACCAAATTAAAAAAATGATTGATGGAGGATGGTTTAGTCCTGTTAAATCCTGATAAATCCTGGTTTAGTCCTGGTTTTAGTCCTGGTTTAGACCTGGTTTAGACCTGGTTTAGACCTGTCTTAGATCTAGTTTAGACCTGGTTTAGTTTCTGGCAATGAGTGGAATTACGGGGGGGAAAAAGGGGGTGGGGGAGGTAATCCATTTATTTAAATAAAGTAACTGTAATCCAATTACCACTCACTGAAACAGCAACTGCAACTGAATGCAGTTACTCATAATTTGTACTCTGATTACGTAACTCCAGTTCATGTAATCCATTACTCCCCAACACTGCTTATAGTTTAGGTGGTTTTAAGTTTTGTTTCTGTAAAACATAAACAAATGTGCGCAAAGTTGCATTAAACACATTATTACTGTATATTTGAGTCCTCAAGTCTCAAGTATCGTTCATTTGTTTTGCTTAATGCGTCTTATAATCTAGTGCACCTCATGTATGAAAATAGAAGAGAAAATTCAACATTATTGATATCGCGTCTTATAATCCGGTGCGCCTTATAGTCTGAAAAATACGGTAATACTAATTGTTCAGAGAGACACGATCGCTCAGCGAACAATAAAATATCCTCAGTAATGTTCACTAATGGTCACAAATTTATTTTGTGATTTACGAATAATGTTTATTGACTTGAGTCGCGAAGATTTGTGACTTTTAAAATATGGGTCCCCAGAAAAAAAGTTTGGGAAACACTGTTTTAAATGTTCTGAATGATCTGTGGACTTTTCAGACAAATTGTCAACTCAAACTCACGTTGTCATTTCCTGTTTGTTTCCAGGTTGCCAAGGTGATGCCCCACGACACCTTCTACTTCTCCATCCTGCGAAATCCAATCCCCATGATGGAGTCCATATTTATTTACTACAAAAGCATCGCAGCTTTCCACAAAAAACGAACACTGGACGAGTTCCTCAACACCAGCAGGACTGAGTACAACAGTTCTCTTCCCAACAGTCACTACGCGCACAACATCCTCGCGTTTGACTTCGGCCTCGACAATAACGTCACTTTCGAGTCTCCGGATCTCGAGAAGCAAGTTTCCAACGCTATTTACGCCATCGAACGCGACTTCCATCTCATTCTCATTTCCGAATATTTTGAGGAGTCCATGATTTTGCTCCGGCACTCCCTCTGCTGGTCTTTAGAGGACGTTGTATCATTTAAATTGAACAGCCGAAGTGACCGCTCACGTCGTAAACTTTCCCCGGAAACCGAAGACAAAATCAAAAAGTGGAACGCGCTGGATTGGCGGATTTACCTGCATTTTAACTCTACTTTTTGGTACAAACTGGACACAGTCGTCGGGCGAGTACAGCTGGAAAAAGAAATATCCGAACTGAGAGCGCTACAGACTAAGCTCGCGGGGATTTGTCTCAAAGACGGCGGCGCTGTGGATCCTTCGAAAATCAAAGACACCGGTATAAAGCCTTTCCAGTACGGCGCGGCGGTTATACAAGGATATAACTTGAATCCAGACATGAACAATCAAACGAGAGCCGAGTGCGAGCGTTTGATCAGGCCTGAACTGCAGTACACAGATAAGGTTTACAGACAGCAGTTTCCGGAACAGTTCCAGTCGCACAAACAGGCCCCCAAAGCAGGACTCAGACAAAAGAGATTCATTCATTTAAAAACACCTCAAAGTGCCCTTAACCGACACAACAAAAAGCCTGCACCTTGAACTGTAAGGACTTTAAATCTACAAGGATCAGCCATAACATTATGACCACACAGGCCTGGCACTTCATACTTCTCTTAAAGGTGCATTGTGTAGTTTTTTTTTTTGGTGGAGGGTCCGTCGTCTGCTTGTTTCTGTAGATATGTCTCAGAGACTTTATGGCTTTGTCTGGAATGTTCTGCAGTATGACAAACAGCTCTACCTTATATTTATTCAGTTACAGGTGGTTTTATAGCTCAAAAATGTAGAAAAACAGGCATTCTAACTGTGAGCGGGGTCCCCTCTCCACAGATCTGACCTGTAACTTGGTCTGGTTTGGTCTCCATGATGATAGAAAGGTTTAAAATCAAATAATATACTGAAACACTCCAGATAAAAAGCGGTGACATCTCCATGGAGAGAAGTGTTTGACGGACCCTCCACCAGAAAAGTTACACAATGCATCTTTAAACGATGGTGCCATTCAGAGATGTGGCCAAAAAGGTTTGTTTATATTGGTTTGCTTTGAATTGGATTGGTACGGTCGTAAACTGTTTCTATGGTTTGACCTGAACAGACCTTATTTGGCTCCAAGGTTTGTTTTAAATCCCCATTTTACACTCTTTTCTGATCTATGTTCTAATGTTGTTTCCTCATCACAAACTTTACACCTGGAGTTGTGTTTTGTTTCATTCACATGTTTAACACACAAACCCTGCAGATTTAGGCAGAGTTCATCGTTCAGACAGAAAACACTCTTCCACCTTGTGATGTCATGTCGTAATACATAGGGTGACCAGACGTCCTGAAATCTAAGCTGTTGTTCCGAATCCTGAATCCGGCCCTAAATGTCCTGAAAATGACACTCAAACAGAATACTGAGTAGTTATTTTCTGATAAATATTAAAAACTGTTCGTAGAGAGCCCCTGCCGACTTCTAGACACTGTGTTCGCATGACGTACATTTGCCTTCATGACTTCCAGAGAAGAGCATCTGACTGAAGGCATGAGGGCATGAGCGAGGTGCAGTACTACTGAGGTGGGAGTATCAGCGAGGTGCGGTCAGGGGAGACAAGTGATGCAGTGCCACAACCAAGCTCTCCCCTACATCATGTAGTTTATGCTCACTACGTTAACTCATTTGTCTTTAGTGCAGATGCTTTGGGTTCAAGACTACAATTTGTTGTTTACATTTTTACTTAGTTCTTTCTTCCGTTTTGAGTGTCAACAAAATAATTTATTAAAACACAGTGTTTTTATTAGTTCATGTGATTTTTGTGTGTTTGTTCCGAATTTGAGCCAATCTCATCCTGTCACCCTAGTAAAGTGTTTCCCAATTTTTTTTCTGGGGACCCATATTTTAAAAGTCATAAACCTTCGTGACCCAAGTCAATAGACATTATTAGTAAATCCCAAGTAAATGTGGATTTGAGCATTATTGAACATTAATGAGGATATTTTATTGTTGACTGACTGATCGTGTCTCTGAACAATTAGTATTACTCAAGTTTTATATGATGAAAAACAGTCCTTGAAGCAGCAATAAAAGGATCCAGAAGTCGCCTATTTGGACATTAAATGTAGCTCATTTCTTTTTGTTTTCAACAACCCCAAAAAAATCTCTTGTGATCCACCTGAGGGTCACGACCCAGTGTTTGGGAAACAATGCCCTAGGGAATACAGGATGTGCTCCACTGTGTTTTTAAACTTAACACATTCACTAGAATCAGTTGGGTCATTTCAGCCCTGGAATTGCCCATCTCTACTGAACTACCACTTCATGACATCACAAGGTGGGAGAGAGCATTTTGAGCTTTGGATGTAGAGAGACTAATAATAAACTTACTCAAACATGAGTGAATGAAACGAAACACAACTCCAGGTCTGTTTCTGATGAAGTAACATGGGTTAAAGCTCTTAAAAGAAGACATCTTAAGCTAAGGAGAAGGATCAGATATAAACAGAAAATAATCCTTCAACCTGAACCTAACCTTTGCCTAGTATCTCGTATCTTTGGAGATGATGTTCTCTTCAGTTGCGAGATCAGATCAGTGCCTTAGAAGTGGTCTGCCTTGTTGTATGTCTGGCTTCTGTTGTTTTTTCGTCCAAATCTGAAAGAAAGACCACTGCTTTTTTATTACATATCGGTGTTTTACCTTTTCGTCTGCACTGATGTTGTATTTTGCAGCTCAAACTAAATGTATTTAAAATGTCTTTAAAGGTGCATTGTGTAACTTTTCGGTTGGGGGTCTGTCATTGTGCCTGAAATGTTCCACAGTATGACATTAAACAGCTCTACTTCAGTTAGAGGTGTTTTTATAGCTCAAAAACACCTAGAAAAACAATAATTCAACAGATCTGACCTGAAACTGGAAGCATTTGACGGACCCTCCACCGGAAAAGTTACACAATGCACGTGAATAAGTGAATTTTAAGTGAATTCTGACGTGGTCCAAATGTAGTGGCTGATCGTTGTAAAACTGCTGTTACAAGTGTCTGTTTAAAGACATGTTTTTGTTACGACGCTGGAAACACTTTTGGTAACACTTTAGTATCACAACTTCATGAGAATTAGCCTCATTAAACTTGAACGCAGACTTAATTCATGATGAACAGTTTGTATATAGGCGAGTTTCATTGTTGACAAAAGTGCGCGTTGCATACTGGGAATTATTTTGGTCGGCAAGAAACACTAATTCAACATGACGGACGGAGCGAGAAAGCACGTAAAGGGTATTGATCCTGGTTATTTATCCACTCTAACGGCAGAGGACCCAAGACCATTTAACCAGAAATTGGTCATAAGCATCGACGGAGCCAAATCACCCTTTTCAACCCCGACAAAAGGTGGACCAAACCAAATTTCTGGTCAGAATCGCCAACTACCTGGACAAATATTCACTTGGGCGATATCCACAATGACTTGGTGGAAACTCCTGGGCCATTCACAGCAGAAAAGATGAAAACCTCCAAGAGTCTCGATGTGTTGTTGAACTTGTTGGAGTCCACCTTTGTTAGGATCTTCTACGTTTGTTCTGCAGATGTTTGAAAGCCGTTTAATTCACCGTTAGTGGTTCTTTTCACTCAGAATATGAAAAAGACATTTTCCTTCTTCCGTGCTTCTATTTGTGCATCCAATAATGCAGCAGGAATTTACCATTATCGGGGATAAATACGCGAGGTTACGCACTGTGTTTGACCGCTACTGTGTTTCTTGCCTCCGACCAAAATATTTCCCAGGATGCAACGCGGGCTTTTAATAACAATGACGTCAGCTGAAACTCGCCTATTAAGAACGATTCAGGGTTAGTAACCATTTTATTACGGTGTTATCTGTATTAAAGCTGCACTACGCAACATTTCTTGTGGATTGTTGTCTCTGTGGAAATGTTATTGCTTTGTCTAGAATTACAGGTTACAGCACAACGCTACATTACAGTTCAGATCTGCGGAGAGTCGTCCCTAATCGCAGAAGGAATGATTGTATTTTTGAACAATAGAATGATTTGTTTAAAGTCATATCACGGGACATTCCAGGCAAAGCAATAACATCTGCATGGAAACAAGAAGGTAGAGACCGGTTTTGCAGTTCAGCTGTAATTAAGTAGTTATTAAGCATGAATAACGCTTAACTCATCATGAATTAAGTCTTTGTTCATGCTCTATTAATGATGCATTGTGTAACTTTTCCGCAAACTGCTTGTTGTCATAGATTTTTTGGGTTTTTTTTTGTCTGAATGTTCCACGGCATTCAACATTTCTATCTCCATGGAAACAAGAATGCCACCAGGCCAAGTTATGGGTCAGATCTGTGAAGAGGCAAGCCCGCCCCTTTATATTTTTGTATTTTTGAGCAACAAAAAACAATGTAAGTTTAGTGACAATACCGTGGAACATTCCTGGCAACTCTAACCCAGGCTCAGTAATATCATGCAGCAGTGTAATCTCCATCAGAAAAGTTACACAGTGCAGCTTTAAAGGGCCCATATTACACTACAGGGTGTCCCAAAAAAGTTACATCATTTTAAAAGCAATTATTTAGAAAACTACTAAGTCTAGCTCAATGATGATGTTGATTATGGTCTAACAGATCCTTTAGTCCTGCGTACACTGGAAAAAAACAATATCGAGGTAAATTAAAATGACTTAAATGAAGAACATTTGACTTTATTTGAGTCGATTCAACTTGACAAGTGAAATGATCTACTGATGGAATAAGTGTGTTTGTCTTAATTGAAGCAACACTCGATTTTGTTTCTTATTTTAAGCGCAAAGAGATGTTGTTTTTCTCATTTGAAGTGTAGCAAGATGTATTTTCATATTTTAAGAACAAAAAGTCGTGTTCCACTGGCAGATCATTTTACTTGTCAAGTTAAATTGACTCAGATCATGATAAAACTTTCTAAATTCAAGTCATCTTAACTTGGATAGAGTTTGTTTTTTACGCAGCTTTAAATTTTTGGTACCGAATCCAAATTTGTTTGCCAGTTGGTGAAGTTTTTCCACATTTTGCATGTCTTGGGTGAGTGTGTGCGAGCAGATTCCAAAACGCAAAATGATTTCTCTTTGGAAGTGAAGTATGGCTCGCGGCTCATGGCACGGCTCAACCTGAAAACAGAACAAAGATAAAACATTAAGTATAAAATCTGAGGTTATTTCGACAAGAATTCTCTAAATTATTGGCCTGTGAAATTGTTTTTTTTTTTTTTTTGGGACACCCTGTATTTTCTGATCTGTTATAATGTTATTTTCTCATCACAAACAGACCTGGAGTTGTGTTTTGTTACATTCTTCTCTCAGACTCATTCTTCTCTCAAACTGAAAACACTCTGTTCCACCTTGTGATGTCATGAGGTAATATAAGAAGAGCTCCACTGTGTTTTTAAACTCTACACACCTGCACTAGAATCATTTACATTATGTCAGCCCTGGAATTTCCGATCTCTGCAGGGAGCTGTTAACTCGAAAACTGTCGCTTCATGACATCACAAGTTGGAATTTTGTATTTTGAGCTTTAGAGATTT